ATGACGGGTAAGAACCATATGTTGAATTGGACAACCTACCAGGCACGGTCCTTAAGCCACATTGCTTGTTGTTTAATTAATCAGAAGGGGGGAGATGCTGGGAGCCATTAGCCAAGTAGGTATGACAATTTCCTTGCCAGCGTACCCCATGTTGCTTAGTGGAAGGACTCTTGGAATTAGGACATTTTGCAGTGACATTGCATGTAGGTGACCTTGCTCAAGGACCAGGGCGAATCCGGGTTTAGGGTGTTCCCGGTTTAGGATAATCGGGTTTAGGGCATTCCAGGTTTAAGGTTATTCCTGCTGGGAATAGGGCGTATCCTGCTGCCTGAATTCCCCTTGAGTTCTCACGGGATTCAGACAGTATTTTTTGGGAGACAGAAGCCCAGTGGATGTGGATTTGGGCAGAGAACGTGGATTTCCCCAGAACGTGATTGTAGATGGCTGGTGTGAGTTCGGGAATAAAGAGTTGCTGTTTGAATCTACAAGCTGTGTGGTGGCTTGTGATTTTGTGCCCAGCCAGACTGCAGCACTTCATGTATTTTATCCTTCAAAATTTTTCTGAAAGACAGCTTACTGTTTTGAACTGTGAATGCAAATTTAATTTTTAAAAGAAGATCAAAGTGGGTTGATAAAGCGGTTACTATAGTAAGAGTAATTTGTGTCTAGTAGTCTTATAATAAAGACAAATTAAATGCAACATGTTCTTCCTATGAAGCCCACGATGCAAAATAATAGCTAACAATATATCCAAAGTTACCTTTCAATACTTTTTTTCTGGGCTTTTCTCTAAATCAATGGATTGTTTGTCACCAGGACTATTTAGTATTTCACTTAAGAGATTAAACAGTGACTTCATAGAACATCAAGTGGAGATATCAAAGCTTTAGGCAAAAGGGTAAAAACCAATAGTGTTTTGGTCATCTAGAACATTAAAAAGAAAAAAAAAGCCATCCTTCAAAAACAAAACAGAAAATAGGTTAAGAGGTGGACAAGTCAGAAAAATCACATTCACACGTTAACAACATAGAACATGGATTACCTTTGGAAAGAATCATACTGAAATGTTTACTTTTAATGAACTTAATATTTTTATGTTTACAGGTGTCTGGGCATGTTCAATAGGAGCTTCCAAAGATTTCAAACTAATTCAGTCTTGTGCAAATAAAACAAAAAGATAGTTTTCAGCATTTTACAGTGATATTCTTAGGTATGAGAAGAACGTACACTCTAAAAACAATGTAACAGACAAAAGTTGGACAAATGATTGCACCATAAAACTGTGTTTTATATACAGTTTACAAGATATGATATCCTGTTATAAATTAATACTGTACTATATAGTACTTATTATAGTGACCTTTTTAAAAGCAACTGCTGACAGTTGACTATCTTTTCACTTACAGGATTTACAGAAAGTTATATGAATGAGTCCATTTCAATGTTTGGTCTGGAAGAGTACAAAGACTTGACCTCACATACTACTCAATGAGATGGTCTTAATCCTGGGTTAGCATGCAGACTGGCTAGAGGAACTTTCCCTCTATCAGTCCTTTATGCACTGGACCTCCAAGACAATGATGAAATCAAGGACAATTTAATGGTTTGGGTAATAGATATAAATAAAACCTTAAATTTTGTAATCTTATATGCAATACCACTGTAAGTGAAATAAGTAAACAGTGGGGAAATTCTTAGCAGCTGAGAAACTTTCTCTCCCCATGCTCATGATCCAGTTAAAAATATTTTGAGAAACTATTTACAATAAAATCCATCTTTTGGAAGAGAAAATCTCTTGGTTATACCATAAATTAATTTGAACCATACTTTGCTAACACTATCTCAGTGGTATAATGGTGACAACCAAAGCTTTCTTTTAAAGTGTTCCCTTTGATTTGAGGACCTGTCAAATCACAATGGGAAATGCAATCCCAAATGTCCACATGTGTCCGGTGGTTCTCTTAGAATTGACTAGACATCACAATACGTGGGGAATGGTCTCCCTTGGGTTTTCCAAAGTTTTTTTTTTTTTTTTTTTTTTTTAACCTGGGGAAGGTAAAAAGGAAAAGTATGACATTCCCTCAGAACGCTCAAGGAACACACCCAGGGGTGGTCCAACACCCCAGCCCATCGTTGACTAAAGAGTGAGCTGAAAATGGGGTTTTCATTCACAATGAAACACTGCAGAATTAACAGTAAGATATATGAATACCAAACAAGCCAGTGTGAAACACATTGAGCTCTTCCATTTCATACTCTGAATATCTGAGGAGGTAGCCCCATCTCTGAAGGAACCATTCTATAATTTATAAAGTATCTTCTTAAGAAACAGTGCATTCATTCCTGCTTGTGTGAAGCATGGGCTACATGAGACTGTCTCTATTATACTGACAGGGACATCTGGTTGCCATTTCACTAAAAAGAGGAAAAACTTAGCTCCATTGCTGTGAAACACCCTCCTGTCCACACTTCGAACAGGAGATTATCTATGATGCTCACCAGGAAAAACAACTAAGCTTTGACACGAAGGCATGGAAATGTGGAGAAGAGAAATACCGTATTTTAAAACCATTCGTGAGTTCAAGCATTGGCTACAATGCTTTTTTAAGGAAAAAAACTTAAAGCTATGGGTTTAGTACAGCCCTTTAAAATAAATGCAAAAAAATGTTAGCTTTTAGCAAACAAAGGCATACAGCAAATAAAGAAAATATTGTACTGCTTGAGTTTTTGGTAAAGGTATGTGAATAATGCTTACAGATAAAAAGAACAGAAACATTAATTTTTATGGCAGAGTGAAATTAGTGTTGTAAGTAGTCAAAAAAGCCAGATGTTTGCTAGTGAACTTTGTATTTATGTAAAGTTGTGTGCTTGAACATGTAAAATGCATTATTAATGTAACATACCAAGCCAATAGAAAAAAGAATCTCTATACAATAGACAATTTCCAATAATTTAAATAGTGTTAGATTCCCCAAATTATAAGGTTTGACATGATCTTACCTACTACTATCATATACAAATAAATTAACCTACAAAGAATTTTTAGCTTAACTTAAAATTACACCTAGAAAGGTAAGGGATTATTTGTACCTATTTCAAAAACCGGTTAAAATCAAGGGCTGCTACAAAGAACGAGGTAAACTGAAGACTCTCTCCACTATGCAGCCTTCAGATAAATGGCTTTTTTTCTATTGAGTGAGTTCTAGGTTTGCACACCACAGTGTTTGCTAGCAAAGCATTCAGAGTTCTCTTCCAGTAACTGTTTGCATGTGTGCATATATAAATTTACACACACATACACACACACACATATATACACACTGTATACTGCATCAGCAAAATATATATATATTGTATATATTTATATAAATATAAGGAAGATTTTCCCCACCCACCCACCCCAAACAACATGTCTCTTAGTGTTTTGATTTTTTTTCCTTTTCTTTTTGTACATAGAGATTAGGGAATTTCAGAATTTTTACATACATTTTAGCAAACACATTTTGATCTATTGGCTTGTTGGTGCAGTAATGCAATGGTAATCCGTTCTGGTGCCAAAGGCTCATACCATTACAAGGAAATTGTGAACACTAATTTCTTAGGAGGTGAGGCCAGCCCCACATGAACTTCTTTTGCATCCCTCTGGTCCACCATGATTCATAAATACTTAGACTTTTTTTCTCAAATGAATCATTAGATGTTAAAAACGGAACAACAGAGTCACAAAGGGCCAAATGCTTTTCAGTTTAAAGCATTCTCCTTCACTAGGTTGCTATCACAGTGCAGACTGACTGCCTGAATATGCTCAGGAGATTTAGTCATTATTGTCTGTATTTGGTTATGGAAAGGCTCTCAATTTTTTTTTTTTAATCCAAAGTGCATATTGAGAATAAATCAAAGCATTTTTTCCTTTTCAGCATCAGTTTCACCTAAGCATTTTCCTATGAGAGGACAGCTCAGATGCCTTGTCTTTGTCCTCCCACCCTCTAAAAATAAAAATAAAAAATAAAATAAAATAAAATAAAAAATAATAGAGTCATGCAGTTTAGACATTCATCAGCCTGGTAAACAAACTTTGCCAGCAAATAGAAGTCCTACTATTGTAAAGAAAATCGATAAGACAAAAAGTACATATGATGACCCAACTACTGTGTTGTTGGGTAATTTATAAGGTTGACCTCTGACTTCATTGATGTAAAATCCTATTGGAAATATTAGGGCAGCCATACAGAAAAGGATAATTCCAGTGAATGCTATCCATCAAGCATATTTTGTAGCTTCTCTTCGCCAGTGGGAAGCCACCAGCAAACCACATGTGACAGTCAATGAAATGATTCCTGTGATGATAAAAAACAGTGTGGTGACCCACTCTGGGGGCAGCTGAGGAGGGATGCACGTCCGGTCTCGTCCATGGATTGTTTGACACTGTGGCACTAGCCCCCAGTGAGTGCTCCCGCTGACTCCCTGGTGTTGATCCAGTCGGGGTTGGCGATGCTGGCTATGGCGAAGATATTGGTGGCCAGAAAGAGACATCCTGAGATGATGGTCAGTTTATCCATCTCCCCGCCCCGCTCCCCCCACCCACCCCCCCAGGCCTGCCTCAGGCCTCCTGCCCCCTGGGCCGCTGCCGGGGGGCCCGGAGTCCCCAGCCACCGACTTGCGCCCCCTTGGCCCCCGTGCGGCTCTCACCCTCATGCACCCGGTGGATCTTTCCTTTTGTCTAGTCACTTCCCCACTTTTCCTCCAGCCAGGCCCCGCTCACCGGTGACGCTCACTACAATACTGGCTACACGCCAAGTCTGCTGCTCCCAGGAGCCCTATTTTCTTGAACGATTGGGCACACTCTCCCTGCTTGCCATTCTCTCAGCTCCTAAGGTTGTGGAGTGTGGGGCTGAGAACCTCGGGTAGCCATGCCCCTGGTCCCTGGTGCAAGAGACCTCAGCTCTGGTGGCAGCAGTAGCCAGGGATCCCGCGCGCTCCTGGTTCCCGTGGTCTGACTATCATGCTCACGGGAGAGCCGGGAGGGGCCCTTGAGATTTCCCTGCTGTGTGGAGAGGGAGGACTAGGGACATTGAAACTGCCACGGTTTCAATGAAGTTATCTCCTCCGCCGCATTCTGATAATGTCAGTTCTCTGCCATGGTGATATCCCATGCAAATGGCGACAGTTCGTTCCCTTTGCTGGGTGTCCGATGCAACTGGTGGGTCCTGACCCGCTCTCCCAAGCCCCATCTCAATCCTGTGGCCACTGCCTATGAAGGCTCGGTTGGTATGAACCTCCACAGATTCAGGAGGAGCCGACAAGTTGGTTCAGCGGGAGCGTTTAGCGCTGAGTCACAGCGGTTTGTCTGTGAGATGCAGGCCAACGGGAGCCTGAATTCAGCCGCTCTGGGCTCAGTGTGTGTTCTGAGAGGCGCAGACTGTTCGCCCCAGATCCACGTCAGCTCAGAATTGCCTAGTGATCCTGAGCAAACAGCATTTAGATGGTTTAAGACTCCCTATGCCTGTGCAGCTGAAGAGGCCAGAGACTTGATCTCTCCATGCCCGCTGCCATGTTGGATCCCTGAGAGGATCCTTTTGTTCCAGAACTAAGAGAGATGTCTTGAAGGGGTTAGGAACCCCTTCCCCCTCAGGGGTTCCTAACAGTTCATGATTTCAATGGTGACTCCAACCAATTTCTAGCTAGAATTCCAGTTATATGATTCCCTAAGTACATTTACACATAAAAATATAGCCACAAATTTCTTGTGAATTTGTGAATGCACTACGGCTTATTTTCCAGAAGATGAGAAACAGTAACTACTTCTACCTCGTTTGCCTAAACTTAAAGACATCCAAAACTTGTTCCCTTCCTTACACTTTTCAGAGACAATGGACAGGTTTATTTCCCTCCATTCTTAGAAGTCAGCCTGAGTGATGAACTAAGGCAAGAAGGGCCAAAGACATCTCCGGATCTGGAATAGCAGAGAGGAAGACTTGGTGGGAGGATCAGAGTGAAGAGGATCCCACTAATACTAAAAGAACACAGAGTGAACAGGGTGTGAGTAGAGAGGGGTGGAGAGATGGGATCAGGTGATGCTGCTGGGAAAGGGATCAAGGGAGGAATCTGGACTCAGTCTGAACACAGAGACACATCAAGGGAATCTTCTGTAGGTTCTCCATGAGCCCAATCATGCTATTAAGTGATTTATAGTTGTCATATGGATAATGGACTACAGGGTATAAAAGTGAAAAATGTGTTGTGACAACTTGCAAATTTCTGACATGCCAGACCAGAAACTAAAAGTCATTTTTGATTAAATAAACAAAATTTTTTCTTTTTTCTCTCTGTGTTATATCATGGGATAGTTTTCTTGCTCTGACTTGGAGATCACTACTCTTTCATTCTCCAGAGATAATCTTCTCTTAATTCCTTTTAACATACCTCTCATCTGTGGTACTGCCACTTCTTGTTTGCTTTATCTTCTGTTTCCTTGATGTAACTTTGTCTCTCTCCACTTATTTACAGATACTTTGACATTATTTCTACTATCAATTTTAAAGATTGGTGTAGAATCTTTGCAATATAGTCTTTATTATAATATTGGCTGTCCAGTTTGGTCAATAGAATATCTATCTGTTCATTGTCCTAATGTCAGTTGAGACTTTCTGGTTCTTTACATGCCTAGTGGTCTTATATTTTATACAGTATATTACATTTAATTATATATTGTGATATGATGCATCTATTTAAAAATCCTATGTTTATATTTTTGTTTCAGTAGACTATATATCCATTTAGACTAAACCAACTTTGTGTGGATTGTGATTTTTATATTATATCAATTTAGAAACCCTTAGCCATGACATTTGGGTCTTTCTTTATTGTGAGATTTGCAGGGGTCAGCTGAGTTTCAGTTAACAGTCTACATATCAATTCTAGTCCATATTCTTTTGTATCCCCTCTGAGATCGGAACAATGCAAGGGTAGCTCAGAATTGAGCCTGATTTGCAGGAAGATTTTTCCAAGCTCATTTCCACAACCTTCCCACTATGTGTGTGTCCTCAGGCCTTCCCTTCCAGTCTTCTGCCCATTTCCTATGACAGAGGCCAGGATCCCACAAATACTAAGAGGACACAGAGTAATGAAGTAGTGGAATTAAGTGACACTCTCTTGGGAAATCAGCTCCTCAAATGATAAAGGAAAGCCCCCACAGTCTTTGCTGCCACCACTGTGAACATAGACAATTTCCCAAGTCAAGATCAAGTAGAATGGAGAAAAGAAAAACCCTAAGAAAAAGAAAGTGTGGACATTCCAAGTTTCTCAGAGATGAAGAATTTCTTTTCTTCTCTAGGAGACACAAAAGTGGGGTGTCACTGTGTCCTGCACAGCAAGGGATCAGTAAACCAAACAAATGTGTGAACTGGCTGGGAAATTAAAAGTCTGAAATAATATTTAGAGATAAAGACATGGAAAATAGTTTCACAGCAGGGGTTTTGTGGGAAGATCAGTCCTGAGGAGTCTGTCCCCAACAAAGAGAAAAAGTCTGCTAATATGTTATTTATAGCAAAACAAATCAAAGGGGGATTTATTGTGAGGAACAGTTTTGCAAGATAAACAAAAAGGGAGAGGCTGTAGGGAAACTGGCTTGATTGGAGACTTATCACTTGAGCAGTAATTCTTCCTCCTCCAGGCAGCTGGTGCCTCAAGGCTATTTGGGTTCCCTGGTATTTTTTTCTGCCACTGGAAAGTTGCATTTGAACATAGGGCTGTCTGAACCAATAAATTCCATGTTATCACAGAATTCTCTTTGAGAAGAAGTTGCCAAGGTAATGGAGAGGCCTCAGATCTGTGAGATAACACCAAGAGTTCTCTGAGGGTTCAGAGAACTCAACCCCAAGAGTTCACTTAAAAATGGATCAGATAAGCCGACAATTTATTTGCAGCTCCCAATATCAGGGCATATTCTAAAATTCAGCCATGTTCCAGGATGTCTGAGAGAAGACTCAGGGTAGAAGTGGAAAACTCTCCAATGTGGTATTTTTAATGTTCTGCTGACTCCTCCAGTCTGCCTTCTGTGATTTGCTCTCCTAGGTAGTCACAAATATCTCCATGTGTGTTGTTTGAGGTTTAATTGCTGGATTCGGTTTGAAAAGATAGTGTATGCTTACTCCATCCTAAATGGAATCTGAAAACAATAATGATACTTACACTTAGGAACTGAAATCAACCTGAACCATAGGCCACACAAAACACAGAATGATGGAAAGCACTTTAATGGATGGAGGACTCTTTGTCACACTTGTGTGGTTTTTAGTTTATATCTTTGAGATAAGTCTGCTTGGTCATGCCAAATTCATGGGGTAGGATGGATTAACCATGAAAATAATCTAAATAACTGCTTCTCTTGGACTGGACACATAAGTTAAACATAAATTGAATGTAATCTTCAGGTAAGAATGAAATCTATAGTAAAATTTAAAGACGTTTAAACTAGGTGAAATAAGCTAGGCACAGAAATAAAAAAAAAAACTACATGATTTCAATTATATATGTAATCTATAATAGAAGGACAAAGACTCACAGAGGTGGAGAGTAAAATGGTCTTCTCCCCATTTCCTATGACAGAGGCCAGGATCCCATAACTACTAAGAGGACACAGAGTAATGAAGTAGTGGAATTAAGCGACATTCTCTTGGGAAATCAGCTCCTCAAATGAGAAAGGAAAGCCCCCACAGTCTTTGCTGCCACCACTGTGAACACAGACAATTTCCCAAGTCAAGATCAAGTAGAATGGAGAAAAGAAAAACCCCAAGAAAAAGAAAGTTTCTCAGAGCATGAAGAATTTCTTTTCTTCTCTAGGAGACACAAGAGTGGGTGAGGTGTGGAAGGGAAAGGGATAGTGTGATTTAATAAAAGGAGAAAAATTTTCAGACAGAAGAAATAATTTCTAGTGGTCTACTGCATAGTGTGGTGACTATAGTTTATACTAATAGATTATGTATTTCAAAACAGAGTAAAGTATAACTTAAATATTCTCCTCAAATAAAAGTGATTTTGAAATTTCTGAATAGAGAATCACATAGAAATGGAAAGAGAATAAGTGATTTCTTTCACAAGTAGGCAGAGTGGATGAATATGTTGAGGGAGAAAGCATTTGAAATGACTGCTAATGGTCATAAATTTTTTCTTCTTGGTTGATGAAAATGCCCTAAAATTAATTTTGGCAATTGTTGCACAATTCGGAACACAGTAAGAGGCATTGGAGTGTCTACGTGAAATAATTGGATTGTTGATATATAAGCTACAACTCAATAAAGCTGCTTTACAAAACAAAGTGAGGTAAATTCATTAGCCTGAATTAATCATTCAACAATTTATCCATTTGTAACAATAACACACTGTACCAGATAGTATAAACTAAAATATAAAATATAAATTAAAATATAAAATATTTGGCTAGGCAAGGTGGTGCATGCCTATAATCCAAGCAGCTTGAGAGACTGAGGCAGGAGGATCATGAGTACAAAGCTAGCCTCAGAAACTTACTGAGGCCATGATCAACTCAGTGAGACCCAGT